ACTGCTGAACAAGGTTCCTAAAATAAAAATTTATTTGACTCAAAGATTAAAACTTAAAGTTCTCCACACAAATCTATTCATAAACCATTAAGTATAATTACTGCCAAATCAAAATTAAGCCATTTAAATTAATATGAAGTATCCTCTTATTTAACTTAAAAAACACAACTCTGCAATAATCACTAACATTACCTAGGAGTTGAAATATTTCACAGAGAATATCTATGAGCCGTAAGAGACATTATGACATAAGAAGTTGACAGTGGCAGTTATAATTTTAAACAAGCTTATTGGAAGACAAAATTGAAATGCCATAAGAAAAATACCCCTACTTATTAGAAATACTGAGAACTTAACAGCAGTAAACATCCATAAGACAGCCTAATGATCATTTTATGAAACTGGAAAAAATTATTAAACCCCTGTCCATCTTCCTTAGGATTATGTGACAACTCTCTTAATATGATTTTTTCAAAATTCATTATAAATCTCTCATATGTTTAAATTTTGTATTCATACTTTTTCTTTCCCATTTTAAAAAAATTCATAGCATGACGTGTTGGTATAGCTTACAGGTCTTATCAGCAATATCTTAAACAAAAAGCAAATGTGAAAATCTTCAAAATCATGAAGGATAGTTTAAGGAAGTCAGTAACAAACAGAAAATAAATATTGTGGTATTAAGTAATATCAACAGAACAGTGAGAATGTGATTTCATGGGTTAAAAAAAAATCTCTTAAGACTGCTTCCTAATTGCTATCACCTTTATGAAAACTAGGTTATAGTTGAACATATTTCAAAGAAAATGAAATAAACTTTTTTTCATTTTTTCAGGGGAAAAAAAAACTTACTATCTGACATAGGCACTTGTGCTCATTGACCAATTTTTCCAGAGACAGACATTCAATCACCTCAGCTTCTCTTAAAGCCCCTTCCTTATCTTGTTTATTTGCCAACCTAGAGAGACAAATGGAGTAATTTTATAGCAAATACATAATCTTGATGGCAACTTAAAAATATTTTGACTATGTTCTTCCATTCCAAAGTTTTAAGTCTACTGATTACAGAGCGTACTGGTTTTAGAAAGCATTGTAGTGTCAATTTCATCACTTTTCCTTTATTATTGCTAAAATAAAGTCTGTTAAAACTGCCCTATAAAAAGGGAAATCAGGTAAAGAGAACTGTCAAGAAAACATAAGCAACAGATCAAAAGGCCAACAAAAAAGCTACAAACAGAAAAAGTGGACTACTTTCTACAGCCTACAGGCATAAGTTATGTCCTTATCTTCTTAAAATATAAACTGTATCATGTTTTAAATGTCCAAATATTAATTCTAAGCTTGTAATATTTGAGCTTATCTACATTTCTAGTGTTTGAATATGGTCATGTAAATGGGCAATTTACTGAAAATTCAGGACACTTATAATTTACCTGGCACAGCAAAAAACAAAAAATTATACTCAATTAGGGACAAACTGGGGAACAACAAAATGAAAACCAATGTAAGTTCTAAAGAAAAATGGGAATTACTACAAAATACCATTATTTGCCTACCAGATGGCAGAGGTCAAAAAGTTTAATAACACAGTGTCTTGGTTAGGGATGACAGATTGTTTAGGCAAAGATATTTTTAAAAAATAGACAGAATAATAAATCAAATGAACCCCTATAACCTATCATGGGTGTCTTTCTTGCTCATTTACATACATTCCACTTTTTCCCCCAGTCACATCACTTCTCCCAAAACCAAAATACCCCTATCACACCTAACAGAATTAACATTAGGTCTTTAATATTACTCAGTTCACTCAATATTTCCCAAATATCATTTTACAAATGTTATGTTCAAATTCAGATCCAAACAGATACACATTACAATTTATCACTCTTAAGTCTTTTTTGAATCTATATACCTGCCCTCTACCACTCCCAATATCACCTCTTTTCCTCCCATGACATTTATTTGTAGAATAAAAACAAGTCATTTTTCTTTAGAATTCCCCATGTTTGGGATTTGGCTGATATCTCCATCATAAGCTCTTTTAACATACATACTCTGTATTTTCTAGATCTGGTAGTTAGATGTAGAGCCTGGATGAGTTTCAGATTGAAATTCTTTGGCAAGCATATTTCATAGGTGGTTCAGGTACTTAGGAGACATACAAAATCACTTTTATATAGTATCATATTTTAGTGATATTAAAATTGTTAATTGGGAGTCAGGTGATCCATCCAAAATAAAGTTCCTTATTAACTTTTCACCTAATGATTTTAGCATCCATTGACAACCTTTGTTTAATTCCATTATTTTATAAGAGTTTATGAAATAGTGACTTTTCTAGTTCTGAATTCCTTCTGCACTTACTAGCAGGGTTTTTGCTAAAAAAAAAAAAGAAAAAGTAAAAAGAAAAAAAGCTTTCATCAACTGCTTAGTGTCTCAAATACAATTCATAGAAAAAAAATCAAGATAAATATTTGATCCTTTGTCTTTATTTCCTAATTTTCATAGTAATGAATTGGTGCCCTAGCAACCTCCAAAGGTGATCAAGTTGCTTTGTTTCTTTGTTTTGTCTTCTCTGGAGGACATCATTACGAACTCATGGACTTTTAACACATATTTGACATCTTTCAATTTATTGCAATTATTGTTCTTTTTGAGGCTTAAAGTTACCCATTTTTTGGTAAGTGGGAGTCCCCTTCAGGTGGGTGCTTGAGTCCTTTTGGTACAACACCAAAAGTCTTTGATAGCTTCTTTGCTTAGTATTACGAACAATGTCCCAGACTTGGAATCATCCATTTCCCTAAGGAGCCCCGGTGCTTTCAGTGTGAAATGGTATTTTAAAGACCACTGTAGAGATTTTCATTAGTATTGATTTGTCACCGTATCTAGACCCTTTCAATGCACAAAGCTAGAAAATGCAGATTTTGAGGGAGAAACAAACTAAATCATGAGTTCCTATTGAATTTTTCATTTCAAATCAAATATTAACAAGTTTCTACTTATCTTCTTAGACCTCATTTGTATCTCTTTTTACTTATGCTGAAAACCACAGTCCTAGTGACATTGATATTAACTATTTGCTTTATCTTACTATACGAAGGTATTTCAAAAAATTCATGGAAAAATAGAACTGAAAGATAATATGAATGTTTCCACGAACTTTTTGAAGACTTTGAGTATACAAGAGCTTTAAGGTAATATCAATATTACTAAAAATAAGACTAAATGCAGGTTAAGATCTTGTTGTGGTTACTTTTATCTCTAAGGTATATCCCACTAGAGATAAATGGCCAAAATACCGAATTTTAAAATTACTTGAAATAATACTTTTCTTTGCGGTTACACCACCACCTAGATATAAAGCTAGGTTCATTTCTTTTAAGGTGCTTTTGCTTTTTAGAAACAGTTTGTTTGCTTTTTAAGATTTAATATTTAGAACATTTATATGGTTCTCAATTAAAAACTACAGAAACAAAGTACAATCAGAAAGAACTATTTTCCATCCCTGTCCCTTTTACTCCCCTATTCCTTCCCTACTGTTACAGTTAACCACTTCTATTAGTTTTTAGTTCATCCTCCCATTGTTTCTTTTTGAAGATACAAACAAGTGTATGAGGGAAATAGTATTTTAAAGACCACAGTTTGTGCATGATGGACATTTACTGCTATTCACTGGTATCTGTGTGTGCTTATAAAATATTTATATCCACCCTCCCTTTCTTCCTCAAAAGGTAGCATGCTGTATATACTCTTTTTAACCATGCTTTTTTTTTTTTTTAACTGACTAGTAAATCCTGAAACTACCCTGAAGCAGTGTAAAGAAATCTTATTCTATAGTTGGAAAATGCTCCATTGTATGAATGTTCCACCATTTATTCAGCCAGTCCTTATCTATTCAGTCCTTCACTGAAGGACTTTTGTGTTTCTAGTATTTTGTTTTTAGAAACAGTGCTGTGAAAAACAGGTGTATGAAGGAGTCATTTCTTATTTTGAAAACAGACACCAGGAAGTGAGACTACTAAATCAAAGAATAATTGCAGATGTTATGTTGACAGATATCATAGCAATGTTCCTCCTCCTGTCCTCAAATAATAACTACTCAGGTATAAAAAAAAGAAAGGTTCAAAATTTGGTAGTATGAGAGAAATTTTCATTTCTTTTTTTTTTTTTCCCTTTTTGTCTTTTTTTGTGACCGATAACGGGATCGCAACCCTCAGTGTCACGCCCGTACCGCGACCGGCAACAGGATCGCAACCCTCGGTGTTGTGCCCGCACCACGCTTAACCAGTGAGCAGACCGGTCTCTATATGGGATCCGAACCCTCAGCGGGAGCGCCGCCGCGCTCCCAAGCGCTGCACTCTACCGAGTGCGCCACCGGGCCGGCCCAGAAATTTTCATTTCTGATTTTTTCTATACATATTTCCTTATAAAAATTAATTTTCAGTAGTCACACTGGCATAATAAATAAACAGATTAACATACACTGCTGCACAACTTTAGTTCTTCAATATTGAAAGCTATGGAAGAAACTTATTTTAAAATGAAAACAGCAGGTGTAGAAAAAGGAAAAGTGGGATTAGGGGTTCAAAGATATGAGCTCTTTTCTGGCTGTTCTACTTCCGAAATTCTATGATTTTATGAACTAAGCTCCTGTGGGATTTCCTAAAATAGCATATAAATCAATCATTTTAAAGTAAATGGAACAAAAAGTCTTCACACCAAGCTTCTTTCCATTCATATTTATTCCTATTTAATCCTATATTTTTTACCAAGCTTTGATATCTAAAGAAAAGAAAGTAACCTTTGTCTAAGTACAACAACATTTTTGTTATGTAATGTATTTTATATATAATGTAGGACTGGATTCACAGAGCCTGTGCCACATACTCTATGTAGTCACTTTAATGAGGACTTCCTGTTACCGACTGGCTCCAATGAAAATGATCTGCCTTTAATGCAAAGAATAAGCGTCCAACAGGCAGAACCGGATTCTTCAGGTATGAAGTAAGCAATCTTTTCTTTTCATTTGATATTAACAGCAAAAGAACAACTTTATCTCTAACTTATTTGACTTCATTATTTGGCTTTCAATTAACTATATGAAAACCATACAGAAATTAGCCTGCGACCTACAAGATAGAGATTTAAGTAATTTAATCAAAACATCATATGAGATGATACTCAGATTTTCTCTCCAAGGCAGGACTCCAACACCGCAGGTGGAAAACCAACAAAAGGAACAAAACAGAAAGGTAAATAAACCATTCTTTTTTTGTACTTTTTAATGTGAGACAGCCATAGACTGAAATCTAGTTATAATGTGATAGATATTTAAAAGTAGCTCAACAGATAATTAAAGTTCCTTGTTTTGCTCAGATTTGGACAAGGCTACAGGCAGCTGATCTGTTCACATATACTACTGGCATACTGAATGAAATTTGGGGAATGAGCTCTTGAAAACAGATCACTATAATAAAAATCAACTTTAGAGAAAAGAATTTTTTTAAAGTTTTTTTAAAAATAACTTGTCCTTTTGGAAAAACTAGAGTCAGATACTATAAAAACAAACCTAAAATTCTTTCTTTTATAGGCAGACTACAAATTAACCATACTGTGCTTGTTTTCGAGAACACTTTTACATTTAACTCTGAAAAGATGCTTATGCCCAAATTGGACACATATGTAAAACCTTTAAAGTGAAGATAATTTTCTGTATGGTCTTAATTAATTTCTCCACTGTTGTTTCCCAAGATCTTCTAAAGCTAATTTGAGGAAATTAGAAAATAATCTTGTTGTAAAGGTAAATATCAACGCACTCAGTCACCTTTTCAAAATTTCAGCTAGTACACTGAAAGTACTTAAATTATAAAATTTAACATAAACATTATATTGATTTGATAGTTTAAAAATTTAAATCAGCATTATTTAAATGCAACATATACAGATAGGTCAGATACTTTCAAAATTATCTTATAGTTGTTACCATGTTAGAATTTAATATATGTCCTATTTCAAATCAAAAGAATAATGACTTTTATAAATGTTTTAAGGGTGGACTTGAAAACTGACCATGTAATATCTAAAACACGTTATCTTCATGGCTATGCAGCTTTAAATTTAATATAAAAACCATTTTATGTATGCATAGCTTATTTGAATCACATAAGTGAAAGTTCAAAAATTACACAAGTATTAATACTCAAACAAAAATGATTTTAATATTGTTAAACAAGTTAATTTAACAAATTATTTACACTAAAAAAAGTAGAAAAAACCCATTGAAAGATTGCCCTACAAATAATGTCAGATACTTCAAACTCAGAGAATATATGCCATTTGCAATAATTTTTCAGTTTTTAGAAATCACTATTTCACCCCGATTTTAAGTAGCCAAACAGGTAAATATTCCAATAAGATCTACTGCTTTCACCTTGAACCAGAGGAATGCTGCAAGTTGTCTTCACATACAAAAGCAAAAGAATACTCTACTTTATGTTGGATAAAAACTGGTTATAATTCTTTAAATAGTTTATTTAATTAATTAGTAACTATAGAAAAAAATGGTTTACTAAAAGATCTATAAGTATATTAAGTATCTATCCCAGGGCATATTTCTTAAAGCACTAGGTAATTTTCACTAATGTTTCTCTGTTTCCAGGAATTTTCTCTGTCTCTATTAGGGTGGAGAAACTTTTATTTGAATCACACAAGTTTACTTTTCTATTTCCCAGAAAAAATTGTCACAGTTGATTTCCATATGTACACATTAGTGTTCTTTCTTTTTTCAAATATCATGTTTAAGCTCAAAGATATAATCAGTTACTGCAAGTAGAATTAAAAACTGTATAGCAATACAGTAAGTAAACACACTAAAAGATTCTTCATATTTGGATAGAACCCTTCCAACATTAAGAAAACTAATTTAAGGTACAGAAAAGAGTACATAAAATAGAGATCTCATCACTTTCACTGACTCTAAGCAATTAATTTTGCAACTATAAGCTTTGTATTTTATGCCTACGTGATCTCTGTTTCTTCCAACTTTTAAATTCTAAGATGCTTTGATGTCTCACTTTGCCTAATATTCTAATGTATAAAGATGGAAGATCAAGAAATTAAATTGGAGGGCCGATCCCGTGGCTCACTCGGGAGAGTGCGGCGCTGGGAGCTCCAAGGCCACATGTTCAGATCCTATATAGGGATGGCCAGTGCGCTCACTGGCTGAGCCCGGTGCCGGCGACACCAAGCCAAGGGTTGCGATCCCCTTACCGGTCACCAAAAAAAAAAAAAAAAAAAAAAAAAAATTAAATTGGAAATAGTTATAGTTATGAGTTTGCAATTACTAGAAAATGCAATTTAAATACAGCATGTAAGTGCACATGAGTATCTACGTTAAGTCAATTTCTGCACAGATGAATAAGAATTTTGGGGAGCATTCCAAATTATGTTACCTCTGCAAATAAAATCAACTATGACTTTTAGTCCAGATGCACAGATACAGAAATTCCTCTCTCTTGCTCTAAACACACAGAAATGTTTGATACAATCTTAAGTTAAAAAAGAGTCAAATTATAAAACTATATTATTAAATTTTAAAATAAGGAAGGGGAAATTTCCAGGTGCTAGAAATGAAGAAGGAACACACTTGTAGCAAAAGTGAACAGTACTATGCTAGAAGAAATAAGTACTTTTACCTCATGACGGGTTTGCGCATTTAGGGAACTAAAACTGAGTTTCCTAGATGAAGTAATGAGCTAGGAAAAGTAGAACGTAATCGGTATATGAAGACAAGAATATCTCTGTTGACTAGCCCAGGATTACAGCAAAGAGTGAGATATTCGTTCAGGCTCCAAAAGTCACTAGAGAAAAATGAGGCCTATATTTACACTACATGAGCAAACTCCATGGGGCCCAGGTAGTGACAAACATAAAAATAGCCTCAGAATGTATCCATAATTCATCAGGGCACTTGGGGCATTAATGTATAATATAATTCCCCAATGAAGATAAACTACTGACAAAGTTCACTAACCACACTTGCCTACTTCCAAGAGAGTGATCACCAGTCAACAGTTACAGCAAACAAAGGAATTTATTCCTGAGAAATCAGAAATAGCCTAATAATATAAAAGGTCTTTAACATAAATATTTTAAATGTTCAAAAGAAAAAAATAAAGATGTAGGATGCATAAACCAAGATGAATACAGTTTAAACTTTATAGTTGACTTTAAGTAAACATTATTTACATCAGATGCACATCATGACATACAGCACTGAAAGGAAATCTGATTTTATTTCCATGTTTCCCTTTAATATCAATAACATATAGAGATTTAAAGAAAAAAGAGATTCAGAATATTTACTTGTTTTTTGCTAGTAAAATTATTAATATTAATGAATATAAAATACATACGAATATATTTTAAAGAGTTCCTTAAAGTACCTTTTATTCAAATATAAGTATGGTACCCTTTCAGGGAACTGTTCTTCCAAGAACAGAAATCCAGGAAAAGACAACCTTTGCAGGAGTCACAGTCAAATATCTTGGTTTCCAAAATCAGTGAAAGTAAAATGCACCTTCCCAAAGGCACTTTGTAAAGGTATACTGTGCTACAATACCAATTTGAAGTATTCTATTTCTTTTTTCTTTTTACCCTTTTTCTTTTTTTCTTTTACTTTATTTTATTGAAACATAGTTGATTATACATGTTTGTGGAGCACAGAGTTGACTATGAATACTACTGTATAATTTGTGATGATCAAATCAGGGTAACTAGCATATTCATCAAAGGGGGAGGGGGAGGAGGGTTAGTAAGAAATTGGTTGATAGACACAAAGAATGATTATGTTTTGAATATTCTATTTCTTAAAATTTTTTTTAAACTATGATGCTTCAGAAAAAGGCTTTTGATGACAATGATATTTCTAATTTTACAAAAAGAAAGATCTATCCAGTCTGTTAGAAGTGGTTGTTTCAAGATTCGTTCCAAGCAATGCAACCAAAGAGAAAGTTCAAGACATTGTAGTCCTTGAGAACTGTGAAATTTAAAGAACTGTGAAGTACCATTATATGTAGGTACTTCAGAAAGTTCATGGAAAAACAGAACTAAAGATAATATAAATCTGTTTATTATTAGCATATTCATTATCACGAATCATGCTTTTTCTTTATGCCCTCTACTGTCCTGTCCCTCTCCACACCCCCTCCCTCCCTCCCTCCATCTCCAGTAACTTTAGGTTTGTTCTCTCCTTCTGAAAGTTCAATTTTTTTTCTTCTCCTCCTTCCTCCCTCCCTCCATCCTTTCCTCTCTCCCTCCCTCCCTTTCTTCCATCCCTCCTCTTTCTTTCTTTCCTTCTGTCTTTCTTTCTTAGTACCCAGTTATAAGTGAGAACATGTGGTATTTCTCTTTCCTAGTTTGGCTTATTTCACTTAACATAATTTTCTCCAGACTCATCCATGTTGCTGCATATGGTAGGATTTCATTCTTTTTCATGGCTGAGTAGAACTCCATTGTGTATATATACCACATATTTTGTATCCAGTCATCTGTCGATGGACACTTAGGTCGGTTCCATATTTTGACTACTATAAATAGAACTACAATGAACATGGGAATGCAGGTATCCCTTCAACATGATGATCTCCATTTCTTTGGATATATGCCCAGTAGTGGGATTGCTGGATCATATGGTAGCTGTATCTGTAGCTGTTTGAGAAACCTCCATACTGTTTTCTATAATGGCTATGCTAATTTACAGTCCCTTTCATGAACTTTTTGAAGTACTCTCATATAAACATGATAGGACTTTATTCTCATGAATACAAAATCAAAATCAGTTTTGTTTTGACATTGCTTTCTCTTCCTATCTCTCTCTCTCTGTCTCCTTTGAGCTTCTAACACTGTTCCTCTTTCCTTTTCCCCATATTATCATGAGCACAGTCAGTCAAAAAAAAAAAAAAGAAAGAAATAGTACAATAACTAGCACATCTGGTATAAACATTGTACCTGTTAGAATTCATAGTGACAAGGTAGTGCAAGAATAGGAAACAGAAATCTGTGTATATAAATAGGAATAAAGTGTACCTCACTTCCGATCTATTCTATCCCAGATTATAACTATGACCTGAAGCAGGAGAAAATATAAAAATCCCAATCTCCACATAGTGCCAAGGATAGGATTCCAAATTCTTAGAGACTTTCTGTGATGCAGGTCTATGAGATCAGAACCAACTTTTTTTCTTCTTCTACA